CAGTAAAGGTGAGTTGGGATGGGGGTTGGTCAGTTGGGAGGGAGGGGCGGGTAGGTGGGAGGGAAGACTGACAGGTCGAGGAGGCGGGAATGAGGCTAGTAGGTAGGAAGTGGGGGTGGGGGTTGGGTTTTTTTTAACTTTGTTATTCCTCAACTCTATACACAAAGATTCTCCGCTTTCCGGCTCAATATCATTTCTTGCTATTGATTTAATTTCATTTCTTACTAACAAGGCATCAGCCTGTCCTTTCGACAGGACATGTATCCGTGGATATTTAGTTCCCATTCCTGATCCCCTCACAGCATCGTACCTGCCAATTTCAATCTGCGCTACAAGCTTGGTTTGATTTGATTTATTGTAGTCACATGTACCAAAGTACAGTGAAAAGTTTTGCTTTGCATGCAGCACAGGCAGATTGTAACATAGCAAGGACCTACAGATTATAGGCTGCTTAGACAGAGCAAGGTTATGACTGCACAGCAAGATTTGAAGCTAGAGAGGTCCATTCAGCGGTCCAGTAACAACAGGAAGAAGCTGTTTTTCAACGTGTTGGTGTTTAAACTTCTGTATCTTCTACCCAACAGAAGAGGTTATAACCAGGGCAGGAGGGGTCTTTCCACATAACCTGCACATCTTTGGACTGTGGGAGGAAACCCACACAGACACAGGGAGAACATGCAAACATCACACAGACAGTTGTCCAAGGGTGGAATCAAGCCTGGGTCCCTGGAGCTGTGAGGCAGTGGTGCTAATCACTGAGCTACTGCAGGGAGCAGTGATGTGTTGCATGCTCTGTGGGCAAATTGTAGGGAATGGTATCTATTCCCCTGACTCTCCTATCCCCGATAACACTATTTCCTTTTCCCCCCCATCATGAATGCCCCCCTCTAAGACAATGCCATAAGTCAGTTTGCTCATCTTTTGATTTATATCATTAGGATTGTACCTTTGCAGTTATGGTAAGGCATTATGACAGGAAGCAGAGAGGACAAGACAAGATAAGATAATCAAGTAGGATAGTTAATATAACCGTACGATTATCTTTAAAATGTAACAACATTGAGGTCATGATGTACCAGTGCAACTTTATTCGCTACGTAGCTCAGATCCTGAATAAAATACTTATATAGAGTCATGGAGCTGTACAGCACAGAAACAGACCCTTTGGTCCAATTCTTCCATGATGACCCAATATCCTAAATTCATCTAGTCCCATTTGCCAGCATTTGCCCCCTATCCCTCTAAACCCTTCCTATTCATGTACCCATCCAGATGCCTTTTAAATGTTGTAATTGTACCAGCCTTCAACACTTCCTCTGGCAGCTCATTCCATACATGCACCACCCTCTGAGTGAAAAAGTTGCCCCTTACATCCCTTTTAAATCTTTCCCCCTTCACTTTAAACATATGCCCTCTAGTTTTGGACTCCCCTATCCTGGGGAAAATTCCTTGGATATTCACCCTATCCATGCCCCCCTCATGATTTTATAAACCTCTATAAGGTCACCCCTCAGCCTCTGACGCTCCAGGGAAAATAGCCCCAGCCTATTCAGCCTCTCCCTATAGCTCAAACCCTCCAAGCCTGGCAACATCCTGGTAAATCTTTTCTGAACCTGAAAAAAGCCTTTAAGGTCAGAAAGGTGTCTCGTTTGGCAAATTTAACACTGTTTTAGCCTTTCCTTTCCCATTTCGTCCACCAGGCATCCCTGTCACCTGCTGAATTTGTCTGTTTTAGTTGCTATGGAATTGCGACAAATTTGATTGTTTAGCCTCCATGTGGATCTAAGTCAGATAGCAGTTCAGTCTTCGGGCTGTGAATGTATATCATGAACAAAATACGATCAAAAAGTGTGACTGTAATGGGTTTTTTTAATGAATTTTTAATCAGTGCAATTGAAATTATGGGCAAAGTTTGCGCATCTCATTATACATCTCATTTCACGCAATGGTGACAAACTCATCACAAATGCAATTTAGCTGGTTCATTATATATGCAATTGTTTTAATTCACTGTGAATGCATCCTGTAACGTATCTCAGTCTGTACAAAACCCTCTTTGAGTTCCTTTAGCCGAACTGCTAAACGCTGAACTCGGAACTCAAGGAGGAAGGTTTGAAACCACCCAGGGTATTGTTGAGATTCAGTGCTCCTCACTGAGTTCATATTTCCAGGTCTGGGCTTGCAAGCTGTCAAGTAGTTAGCTCAGTTGGTAGAGCACGGGGCTCTCAGTCTCAGGGTTACCGGTTCAAGCCCCACTTTGGGGCTGGGTGTTGCTTAGCTTGGAAGGTTGGTCTACAATCACAGCCCAGGTTCACTTCCTGCACTGGGCTGGAGTTACCATGAAGAGGATCCCCTTGGGCTAAGTCACAGCTCTAATGGGATTACCTTCTGATTCAACTCCAGGTCCACAGCAGAGGAACAGAGAGCTGAGATATTGCAAATCTCTGTTCCACCACTTGATCACTCATTGCCTGGGCAGCCCATTAAATGGGATGCTTGAAATCAGGTTTGAAAACTACTTGGGGTCCACCAGTCCCTCCAAAGTTTAGTCATTCTGCTTGTCAGCATAGCATGGTTCCACCTCCTGGCTTCGGAGCTAGGAACCAGGAGCAAGAGCTGATCATCGCTCCCTTTTAGACTAATGGAAAAGGGGCTATGGTGAACACCAGCTCCAAATCTTTCCATCATCCTGTTACTCTGCGTGTGTCCCACCCCCAATCACATGTGGCTGATTAAGGCGGTGGTCTTGGTCAGGGAGATAGGTGACCCCTTTTTGGTCTGTTCCTTTGTGAAACCAATACAACAAACAGAGGTGAAAGCTTTCCTCAGATCCTTTTTGACACTATTGCTGACCAACACATAGAGTATTGGGTCCACAGCGCTGTTGAGGCTGGACAACGCCAAGGAAATATTGAAAGGCAAGTAGACCATCTGTTCAAAGTCACAACTACAGTTGGTCAGGGTGAAATTTATGGTTCGGAGCAAGAGGATGATATGGTAAGGGGTGAAGCATATGACGAAAATGATGATGACCGATATGGAAATAAGCTTAACTTTGGCCTTTTGTTCGATCCCCAGGGTAATGCTCTTCTGGACTCCTTTGAAGATCCTCTGGTATGACAAAATCAGGACCAGGACAGGCAGCAAAAAGCCCAATAGGAATCGGAAATAATTGCTGATGGCCACCGGTCTGATTAGAGGGATGTGCTCGAAGCAAGTCTGGCTGTCTGCCTTGTGCTGTCTATCTTGTCTGATGGAGTAAAGCAGGACAAGCAGGTGGAAGGCGAAGACGACCAGGAATATGAGCAGGCAAACTTGTACTGCTTTTCCTGGCTGACGGAAACCCTGAGACTCAATGGGGTAGACCACTGCCAGGTAGCGATCCACTGAGATGCAGCAGAGCAGGAAGATACTGATGTAGACATTGGAGTAGAATATGAACCCTGACATATAACAGAAGGCCCAGCTGAATGTCCACTTGTGTCCATTGTAGTAATAAAGGACCCAGAGAGGAATGGTCAACACAAAGAAAATGTCAGATATGGACAGGCTAAGGAGATAAATACCAAGGACGTTCCTCTGCTTGACTTGCAGGATAATCAGCCACAGGGTAAGGCAGTTCATGGTAAAGCTCACAATGAAGATGACACTGTATATGACGGCGAGCACAATGCTGTTTCTCGTAAAATCAATCTGACACGACGTCTGGTTGCATTCCATAGTTGCGGACTGATCAATATTTTCTTAGGGTGGACTTCCAGCAAGATGTAAGCAGGGGAGACCTAAATTCAGACACCAGACCTGGAAAAAGGCAATGAGACACAAATTACAATAAATTGAAACAGGTCCATAGCAAGGAAGTGAATGAATGGTGGAAAGTCAGGCATGACATAGAATCCCTATTGTGTGGGAGTAGGCCATTCGGCCCATTGAGTCCACACTGGCTCTCCCAAGAGCATCCCACCCAGACCCACCTCTCATAACCTATCCCTGTATTTACCATGGCCAATCCACCCTAACCTGCACATCCCTGGACACTATGGGGCAATTTCCCATGGCCAATCCACCCTAACCCGCACATCTTTGGACTGTGGGAGGAAACCGGAGCACCCGGAAGAAAGCCACACAGACACAGGGAGAATGTGCAAACTCCACACAGACAATCGCCCGACAGTAGCATCGAACCTGGGTCCCTGGTGCTGTGAGGCAGCAGTGCTAACCACTGAGCCACCCCACACATTCTGACAGACGTTAAACCTGTGAATTAACTGCCGCACCGGTTCAGAATCTTGCAACCACAGATCCCACGAGCTCAGATAGCACCGGTGGAAAATGCTTGACGATGGTACAAAGTCAGTTAGCACAAGGTGGAAATCCGTCTTGTTTCCATGGGTCAAACCACTAAGTGCCACAGAAATCGAATGATTGTCCAAATCTCAAACTCCCTCTGCAAATTCAACGTTTCGTTCATGTGAATCAATGTATTGGCAGCTTCCACCATTTCCCTACCTCCACCGGTCTACAGCGTAACCCCTTTCTGATTTTGTCTCTAAGTTCCAGCAGGGAGACACAATCATTGTGTCAAAGAGATCTATAGCACAGAGAAAAAGTCCATCGAGTCTGCACCAGTCAGTAATAACCACCTGTCTACTCCAATCCCATTTTCCAGCTCTTGACCCATGCTTAGACCTGTCTGTCTTGGCATTGCAAGAGTACATCTAAATACTTCTTCAATGTTATGAGGGCTTCTGCCTCTCTGAAGTTCATTCCACACACGAACCAGCCTCTATGTAAGTATTTGCACCTCTTACCTTTTTTAAATCTCTCTCCTCTCACCTTAAAAATGTGTACCGAGTCTTGAAATCGCCCACGCTAGTGAAAAGACACCTACACTTAAACCTATCTAAAGCCCTCATTATTTTACAAACTTGCTATAAGGTCGCCTCTCAACCTCTTATGCTCCAGTGAAAAAAGTCCCCTCCTATCCTGTCCTTCCTTCTAACTCAAATTTTCCATATCCGACAACATCCTGGTAAATCTCTTCTGAACCCAATGAACTAACATTGTATCCCTCGCTCTGTTCTATTACCCTAAAGCACTTTGTATGGTGTGATCTGCCTGTATTGTATGCAAAACAAAACTTTTCACTGTACCTTGGTACACGGGACAATACTAAACCAAATCAAGCTGTTATGTTTGCTACACAACATCACTAAGAAAGTGCTTCATTGGCTACAAGTGATTTGGGAGGTTGTGATAAGTGCTAAATAAATGCAAATTCTTTCTTTCCATGTAACTGGAAACCTTCTTACTTCTCTCTCTCACTCTCTATTTTGTTGATACTGTCCCTTTGAACTATTCTCACAAACTAATATTGAGCTCAATCATGGTTTTGGCTATTTACTTGCATTTAACAATTTTAAGAAAATTGTGGTTGGAATATTTAAAATATTTATATTTTAATATTTAAACTCCAGGTGTAATCTTCCACAAAACAATAGGAGGTTTACATCGGAGAAGGCCAATCAGCCCACTGTGTTTGTACTAGCTGTTTGCTAAAGCAATTCAAACCTGATGCCTGTCCAGTTTATAATCTTTAACCTAAGCCAACCCAATGCAATCCAATCTGTTACCTATTCCAAAACTGCCTGAGCCATCTCAACGCCAGACAACAAGGTCCAATAAAACACCCAGCCTACCAAAGTCAACGCAACTCAAACTCACTCAATACAACGTACTCCAAACCAACCCAAGCCCAACGCAATTTGAGACACCCTAATCTGTTGCAATCAGACCCAACTTAACCCAAACTGACCTAACTCAACCTAAACTATTCCTTATCTGATGTATCACAATGCAAACCGGTGTAACCAACCCAGAACATCCCATCCTGCCTATACCCAACCTAAAACAAAACAATGAGGCAACTTAACATAATATTGTGGAAACCAACCCAATTTAACATTACCAATTTAATCTAACCCAAACATATCCTCAGCAAACCCCCAAGAACTATGGCCCAAGTTATAAATAATTGTTACAATGAAACCAGTGATAATGCCCCAATTTATTTTCACTTTAGAACAGTGTAGAAAGGCCACACAAGAGGCAATGTACACCTTTTACTGAATACAGAGGGAAGAAAAGTTCATCGTTTTTAGAGCACTTACCTCTGAGATTGGTGTTCCTTCAGTATTTCAACCTGGTTGATTCAGCCCCTGTGTCAGAGACTGTGAAAATGATGGTAGTGTAGATGTCTGCTCTGTGTGTGTGTGTGTGTCAGGGAGACAAGAAAGAGATTGTGGTACAGAATTATTCTGCCAGACCACACAAACTGCAACTGTCACTAACAGGAAATTCGCAGCACGAGCATATACACAAACCCAAATGACGCACAGTTGCGATGGAATTGAAAGCTAGACAATGGGGAGAAACAACATTGCTCACCCCTTGGTTAAACTGTCTCAACTAAAGAGAATCTATTGGTGACTGCTTTTGCAGTCTGCTCCCTACTTCTGAGGACAATCCAACTCTCTGATACCTCAGTAAGTAGCTCCCTTCTTTACCTCCAGGTAGTTCAGTCAGTCCAATATTCCACCATCAGTTGAGTCTAATCCTGAACCACTCTCCATATATCAATGGCAGGGGACTAAATAATTATCTCCTTTTCTCCCAACGAGCTTCCAGCTAGCAATCAACTACTACAAGACCATAACTCATAGAGTCCAGCACTTAGACCATAGCCTTGTGTGCCTTGGCATTGTAAGGGCACACCTGCCTCACAGTGCCAGGGACCTGGGTTCGATCCCACCCTCTGGTGACTGTCTGTGTGGAGGTTTGCACATTCTCCCCGTGTCTGCGTGGGTTTCCTCCCGGTGCTCCGGTTTCCTCCCGCAGTCCAAAGGTGTGCAGGTTAGGGTGGATTGGCCATGCTAAATTACCCATAGTGCCCAGGGATTTGCAGGCTAGCCGGGTTAGCCATGGGAAATGCAGCGTTATAGGGATAGGGTGGGTCTGGGTGGGATGCTCCTCAGAGGGTCGGTGTGACTCGACGGGCTGAATGGCCTGCTTCCACACTGTAGGGATTCTCCCTAAAAGTCAACCCCGTTGCTGTGGGTCTGGAGTCACGTATAGACCAGACCAGGTAAGGATGGCAGATTTCGCCCCCAAAGGTGCATTAGTGAACACCAATGACCAAAAGCAGGTCTAGTGTTGCTAAGGGTGCATTCCACGTGCTTGGATTTAAGATTGATCACTGGCTTTCGCCCTTTGCACCCACTCCTGAGGGAATCAGGCTGGTCCTTTTGGATTACATTTCCACCACCTCTGCAGAGCAGGAGGTAAAAGGGAGAGGGGTATGACGGCAGGGATCAGGCACGATTCCCAGCATGAAAGAGTACGACAATGTCGGAGGAACCAACATTGGGATTTGAGGATGAGGTAAGGCTCTGTCCAGATCCTCCATCAGATGTAAGAGATCCCATGACCACTGGAAAGGAACTTGGGCCATTGTTCCCTGTTGATCGAGTCAGTATCGATCCGCTCAACATATACCACACAAGGGTCGACTCTTATGACACTGTTTACATAAGAACATAACATAAGAACATAAGAACTAGGAGCAGGAGTAGGCAATCTGACCCTTCAAGCCTGCCCCGCCATTTAATAAGATCATGGCTGATCTTTTTGAGACTCAGCTCCACTTACCCACCCACTCACCATAACCCTTAATTCCTTTCCTGTTCAAAAATTTATCTAGCCTTGCCTTAAAAACATTCAGCGAGGTAGCTTCAACCGTTTCACTGGGCAGGGAATTCCACAGATTCACAACCCTTTGGGTGATGCAAGGCTACATAAACACAAGTCTTTCCCCCTTTTCTTTCTGCTATCTGCTGTGTGTTTGTGTGTGTGTGTCTGTCTGTCTATGTGTGTGCGTGTATGTGAGTATGTGTGTATGTGTGTGTATCTGTGTCTGTCTGTGCCTGTGTGTCTCTGTGTGTCTGTGTCTGTGTTTGTGTGTGTGTGTGTCTGTGTCTGTGTGTGTGTCTGTGTCTGTGTGAGTGAGTGTGTGTGTGTG